TTTGGCTCCAATGTGCATCACCTTGCACTTGGCCACATTGAACCCCATTTGCCATGTTGATGCCCACTCGCCCATCCTTGACAGATCCCTTTGGAGTGCCTCACAATCCTCACTGGTTTTCACCACCCGGAACAACTTTGTATCATCCGCAAATTTAGCCACTTCACTGCTTACTCCCAACTCCAAATCATTAATGAACAGCGAATCCCACATTTCAATCTCTCTCTGTGTAAGGAACTATTTCCTTTTGTCTGTCCTGAACTTGATTGAGGTTTATAAGATTATGCATGGGATAGAGCAGGTAGAGAAAGAAGTACTTTTCTCCCTTTCTCACAATACGAGAACTCGTGGGCACTCAAGGAGATTGCTGAGCGGTCGGGTTAGAATGGATAAAAGGAAATACTACTTCAGACAAAGACTGATTTACACATGGAATTCACTGCCACAGGAGGTAGTGGTGGTTACAAGCATGGACGGCTTCAAGAGGGAATTGGATAAACACATGGAACAGAGGTCCATCAGTGGCTATAAGTCACAAGGTATAGATAAGAACTCTCCGTCTGGAGCAACTGATGCTCTGTATTCTTGGTGCTTAGGGGGGCCAACAGTGGGAGGGCTTCTAGTGTCCTGGCCCCACTGGTGGACCTCCTGATGGCACCTGGTCGTTTTGGCCACTGTGTGATAGAGTGTTGGACCAGATAGGCCATTGGCCTGATCCAGCTTTGGCTTCTCTTACATTCTTATGTTCTTAGGGTTAACTGTTGTGAACAGAAAGGGTTCCCTCCATCAAAGCCATGTAGATGTGAAGTCTCCTGATCCAACATTGGCTTTTCTTATGTTCTGTCATGCCGAAGCCACAATCGGAGTGGCTTCGCCCACTCCCCCCGAGCAGTCTCCTGTTCCCTCCCTTGCACTAGTTGCTCGCAGGCCATCTAAGAACACCTGGGTGGGCAGGTTCTGGCCCGGGGCCTTATGTTTGACACTCCTGCTTTACATAAACACACACACACACAGGATGTGGAATAAAGACATGGGGAATGGGCAATATTTTAATGCCCCTGTACAGATCTGTTGTGCAGCCAAATTTGGAATCCTGCGTACAGTTCTGGTCACCATATCTCCAAAAGAACATTACAGACCTGGAAGCAGTACAAGGGAGGGCAACCTAGATGATTGGAGGCCCCTTCCCTAGGAGGAAAGGTTGAAGAGTCTGGGACTTTTTGGTTTAGAAGAAGAAGAAGAAGAAGAAGAAGAAGAGATTGGATTTATACCCCACCCTTCACTGCCCAACGGTGTCTCAGAGCGGCTTACAAACTCCTTTCCCTTCCCCTCCCCACAACAGACACCCTGTGAGGTAGGTGGGGCTGAGAGAGCTCCGACGAAACTGCTCTTTTTCAAGAACAGCTCTGCCAGAACTGTGGCTTGCCCAAGGTCATCCAGCAGGTGCAAGTGGAAGAGTGGGGAATCA